GGGGGGGGGGTTGGCATAGCAGCAGTGCACTCTGGGGTTTTAGGTTCAGATACATCAGATTTAAATGAACAGAAAATATCACACTGCCCAGGGCTCAATGTTACTAGTCAAAATGACCAGCAAGGCAAAGGATTGACCAGAAAAGTCCCAGTTCTGATGATGTCCGGCTGTTATTTTAAGCCCTGCTACCCAAAGGGCTTTCAAATCATGGGAGAATCCATAGAGGCTAAAAGTGCACTTTAAAGAAAAGCATTCCCTTATTCAAAACAATTTTTTTCATAGACTGTGCTGAAAATTATTAAGCACTGTGAAGAAGAAGGCTCCACTGGAGATTTAGTACAGGGAGTACTGCTTGGTTTGATACAAGACAATCGCCTGGAGATTACAAACTGTTTTCCGTTTCCTGCCTCTAAACCAGGAGAAGAGGAGGATGAAGATGAAGGTATTGAAAATTAAATATCTTCTATCTATATGTATAAATGCTGATTATGATTCAACTTTATCATGTAGTGTAGGAAGAGGAGAGGTACACCTGCTTCTTCTCCCCCCCCCCCCCCCCCAAATAAAGTTTTCAATATTGTCATGGACAGAAGTGCCAAAAGCACTTGAGAAGTTTGAGACACATTTACCTTTAATTCGCATACAATATCTTTACCCCCTTTGGTGCTTTTGCCACTTCCAGTATTCTGTATTACTGAAATGAGCATAGAATAATTAAACCACTTTCACTCTTTAATTTATTACTGTAGTCACTTACCAAATGGAGATGATGCGTCGTCTTAGAGCTGTTAACATTGACCACTTACATGTTGGTTGGTACCAAAGTACATACTTAGGATCATACATCAATAAGACTCTTCTAGATTCACAGTACAGCTATCAGAAGTCCATAGAGGAATCTGTTGTTTTGATTTATGGTAAGCAAAATTATTCACTTACAGCTCATGAATGTTACAGAATGGTGAACAGAGGGCTAAAAATAATTACTGGTCAGTCAACAGGCATTACCTGCTAAATTAGTTTTAGCTTCGTGATATCTGGTTTCAATAAGCCTGAAGCGAGATGACGTTTTACCCCCGACTCTATACCATAATAGTTTTTAAAATTCTTTCATATTAAAATTGTTGATTCCTTAGAGAATGCAGGAACAATAGTCATAATTAAAGAACAAAAGCAGTGTGAAAAGGATTATGGTCTAGAGATGGGGGTAAAACGTCATCTCGCTTCAGGCTTATTCTGGCTCATTATTACTTGTCAAAATGACTTGACCAGAGACAACTTCCATTATTTTTAGCCTTGGAGCAACCCAAGGGATTTTTCAATATTGAAGGAATTTTGTTTGTCTAATGATATGATGCAACCATAAATAAAATTCATGGACATTGACACTTTATTAACGATCTGTTTTATCTTATTGAAGACCCCCTCCGAACATCTCAAGGAATGTTAACAATAAAGGCATTTCGCTTGTCTAATGATATGATGAAGATGTACAAAGAAGGAGAGTTTACACCTGAAAAGTAAGTGCAGTAATCTACTGGTAATCTACTTTACTATTGTAGTTTGTTTTAGCTGAATCATTATACATCAATGCATGAAAGATTTCTCACTTCAATTGGAGAATATAGATTTGTACCTGCATTGTAGCCATACCATAACTTGTTGTGTTTAAATACACCTAATTGAAAAATGGCTACCAATTTGAATAACTATTGTTCTGCACTGTCCATCGACTGACTAACCTCTCATACATGTGAAAACACTTTTGTGTCGCTCTTTGGTGCAGATTAATAGTTATTCAAATTGGTCATCATTTTTGGTCGCATGAAAACAATGAGAAGCCATTTCAATGTTACGGCATGTTGTGTCATGAAATTGCTGTAAGTCACTACAAGTATTGTAAATTTTCCTTGAGGAACAACTTATCTTTACGTTTTCCTCATTATAGGATTACCTTTTCCTCGTTATAGGATTACCTTTTCCTCGTTATAGGATTACCTTTCATTAAAATAGTTTTCAATGTGTGATGTTTTAAAACTCCTCAGGTTATCAAAACTTGGCTTAAGTTTCCATACAATGTTTCAAGAAATCCCACTTGTAGTGAAGAACTCCAGCCTTTGCAATGTCCTCCTCTCTGAACTTCAAGCTGAAATTCCTACTTCAGAAACAAAGCAATTCCTGTCTCTATCTACTGGGTGAGTAGGATCTTTCTGGCAAGAAATCAAGTGGCAAGCCTTATTGAGTGATGTTCGACTTATAGTAGGAGGATGCATGTATTTTAATCCTTGAAATTTGATGGCTCACAGATTGACCTTTTTTGAGTTCAATAAATAAGATGCATGTTTTCTAGCTTGGGCACAAACAACACCATATAAGGCATGGTAAACAAGAGAAGTTTGTACCCAAGCTAGAACACAATGCACCATGTTCGCTATCTCAGAAAAGGTCTATGAAGCATTACAGAGTTCTGGAAGTCACATCGTTAGGCTATGCTTTATTACGTGGTTAGAAAAAACTTGGGGATTTCCTGATTTGGGGCTTTTTATTTTCCGAGGTTCCCTTGATTCAACCTTGAGAATTTAAGATTGTAAATTTTGGTATTGATTTTTTTTTTCTTATTTCATGGCTTCCCAGTTCCTATCTTGAAAAGAATGTCCGCTTGTTAATGGAGGGTGTTGACGAACTCTGCCAAGATGCAAATAAATATCATAACTACCAGAGAAGTGTATCAAGGCAGCAACAACAGAAAGACAATTACCTACAAAGACGGGTAAAACAATTAATACTTGATACTTGTTTTAAGCTCTCTTTGCTAAGTCTTAGTCTCATTTATGCGTAATAATATTCAGCTATTCAACCAAAACCTGTGGCATTTTAATCAACTCGTATTGTTCTGTAGTACATGCATTTCTTTCTATACAATGGACCTTAATGAAAGAAAAGAACACATTTGTACACAATTGAGGCTAAGACTGAGCAAAGGTGAACTGGAAATGGAAGTTTTTTTTTCCAAGTTATTTAGTTGCAAAACTAATCACAATCATTTTGTCAACTATTGTTGAAATTCTTGCCTTTTCTCCCACAGCAAACAGAAAATCAGTCAAGACAGGCCCGTGGGGAGCCTCCATTACCAGAAGAAGATATTAACAAGATATTCAAGCCCATTCCTGTCCCATCACGTCTTGATAACCTGATCCTCTCACAACAAGTTGACAATTACTGTCAACATATCAGCCAGTTTGCGACACAGAGCTTCGGGAAGTTGTTTCTTGCTCAGGCACTTCAAGAAGAACACTAAAATCATACGAACATTGATCATTTTAATGCTCTTAACTTTTGTTTAACTTTTGTTTATGAGTGAAGAATAGAAAAAGAGTTCACTGTCATGCCTTTCTTATTCTAAGAAAACTACCCTAGGGTCCAGAGATTATTTATCCTCACCCCAGCTTTTGCTGTTCAGACTTTCCATAACACTCTCAAAGTAGAACCTCTGGAGCCCAGGGTAAAGAAAACAAGCTCTTGAATTATTATTTTAGAGTGATAGTTTGACAGCTTGCAGAAATTTGATTGAGATTATATCCCAAAAAATGGCACCAATTTATGACCGGTTTATGAATTTGGTGGTGGTGAAGAGAAAATCTTAGTCCTACATGTACCAGCAAATAATAAAAAGTGGAATATGATCTTTAGAGATGAAAGAAAAGAAAAGAAGTAGATCCAGTAAAGGGTTTTGAAGTTCAACAACATTAGAGACACTTATGGTATGAACAAAAAGTTTCCTTGAATCTGTATAAAGCCAATGTCAAGAATTCAAACAAGATTTGAGTAACAGGATGGCATTGAGCTTAATAATCTTTTTTCTCTGAAATATCTGCAAGACTTGTCAAAAGTAATAAAGAGGGGAAAAGATTGAAATGAGATGTTCAGGTGTTTTATTTCTGTATGGGTTTTTTTCTGCTTTCTCAAGTGATTAAGTCCAAGTGCATTTAACCTCTTTGAACTCATATTCTTTCATTATATTCATTCACTTCCCACCATCTTTCAAGTAGGCTCTCTTTTAATTATTTCTGTAAGTCATAATAATTACACCAAAAAGAAATAATAATAATAATAATAAATGGGATTTAGCTGTGGAATTTCTACAGAGTAGCTAATTCCTGTCAATAAATAAATCATTGAGTTGGGGGGAAAACCAGAGAACCTGGAGAAAAAAACTCAAAGCAAATGAGAGAGCCAACCATTAACTCTATTCGTATACAACACCAAGTCTGGGAATCAAACCTGGGCTGCATTGGTGGATGGACATAGAGTTTCATCAGTTGACTGAAAGAATCCATTTCCATTAGTATGATTTAGGTATATGATACTAATTAGCATATGTCAATTTTTGCTCCAAGCTTCCCCCAAAAAATTAAAGGTTTGAGTAGCAATAAAACAAACATTAGAAGTTTTGCCAGTCACTGATTCAATCATACACAACATATATTCTCTATAGCAACACTTAGTACAGTACATTGCACTGTATGCTTGGTGATGATAGACTTCATGGTATGTCTCCTGTTCTTCATCAGTTATTGTCATAGTCAAATAACAATTATTTTCTCTAGAGCAACAGTTAGAACATAGCACTGCATGCTTGATGATAAGCTTTATGATATGCCTCCTTTTCCTCGGCAGTCATTGACTCAATCATAGTCAAACAACATAATTTCTCTAGAGCAACAGAACATAACACTTCATGATTGGTGATGATAGACTTCATGGTATGTCTCCTGTTCTTCATCAGTCATTGACTTATAGTCAAATAACATATTTTCTCTAGAGCAACAGTTAGAACATAGCACTGCATGCTTGATGATAAGCTTTATGGTATGCCTCCTTTTCCTCGGCAGTCATTGACTCAATCATAGTCTGTGTCACATCATGTAGGGACACCATCTTTCCATTAACCTTTACTTGCATCTCATCCTCACCATCACTTTCTGATTCAGCCATAGTTTCTGTCACGTTATGGTTGGGAGCCACAGGGACACTGGTCATTTTCTCATCATCCGAGTCATCACTTGATTCTGATTCTTCCTCATTCCCTAAAGCTTTGTCAACATCCAGTCTCGGCTTCTTGCTCACAGACTCATGAGCCAGTAAATCAGCTAGAATCTCATTATCTGTGTCTTGAGTGCTAGTATGAGGTGCTGTTGTAGTTGCAGTATTGGTTACTGGTTTTGACTCTTCCTTCGTAGCGACAGTACTATGTTTCATCCATTCTGGTGCCTCTTTCGTCCGTTTGACTTCAGCTTTCCCCTCATCATCATCAGGACCCATACTTATCTTAATACCTACATCCCCTACATCCCCATCACCTCGACGATCATTACTCCATGAACGGTTACCATGTGACCCATGAGATGAGCGTGACATATGAACATTCATTGCCGCCAAATCTGGTTCTGGTTCTAAGACTGAAGGGGCCAAGTTAATATTCTCTGATTCTTTCAACAACAAAAATATTGGCTCTAACTGTTCATTAAATCGTGCCAGAGAGGTCCTATAGGTATTTCCTTGTTGGATTTCACTAACATCTTCCTCAACTATACCTGAACAAAATGTACATTTCAGCAACCCTGACATCATGTCAATAAGGCGGTCAACCTCTAAATCAGAGTATTTCCTTTTACACTCTGTACACAAAAAAGACGGCCGATTTTTTGCCTGCTTTTCGTCACTTTCGATTTTTTTTCGAATATGGTCGAGTTTATACCTCACAACGTTGACAAAGAGTTTATAGTTGATGAAGTAATAGTTGAATGTGATCGGTGTTGATCCAGGTTCGGTTTGTTTTTCCTTGTGAATACGTTGCTTTATAAGTTTATCGTTCTTTAGTCTTGAAGTAGTCTGTCGTAACTGTTTTTTATCGAATTTCAGCATCTCCAGCAAGTCGTCTTCCTTGACACAAGGGTGCTTAGCGTTGGTCAACACGTTCATGAGAGCAACGTGTTCTTTGTCGTAAAACCCTCGTATGACTCTTTTAACGAGCTTTTTCAGAACAGGAGGGACCTCCATAAGCAGAGCTGGCTCATCTAGAGCTCCGTTCATCTTGAAATGTCAATTATATGGGAAAATGTTTCCTCCAAATGACACGAAAAAAGGGAATAGAAAATCAAAATGGCTGACGAGACTCTTTTCATGGGTAAAACTACTGAGCAGGAAACAGGAAGCCCAACGAGCAATCTCAATATTTACCGTTAGGAGAATTGAGTTAGAAATTTAGAAATATGAAGGGGCTTGGGATAAGCCTTAATTCACACAGAAACATGTGTGATGTTCTGGAAGTTTGATAATCCTTTTGGAAAAAAGTCAAAGGTAAAAGTAAAAACAAACAAAAACACAGCGATAAAAGTAACAGTAACAACGCGATGATTGTTTTTTTTATCGGGTTACCTGTGGTTCAATCTAGCTTCCCGAAGCGTTGTGGGTTGGAATTTATTTCCTGTTTCGTTTTGTGGCGTCTTGTTGTGGTTGAGGTGTTGGCTGGAATTTTAACAGTAAGTTTTAGCTTTTAACTAATAGCTTGTGGATGTTAAATACTTCTTTCGCATTCCTTTAATGTCTTACGGTTGTTAGTTGTGGGTATGTTACATTTTCAAAATCCTTTTAGCCGGGTTTTTGTTAAATCTTGACGAGTTGAAGGAATCCTGGGGAAAATGACGTCTTCGTAAATGATAATAATATTTATAGCTATGGTTGATACTTTATATTTTTACTAATGCTTCATATGTAAACGAAAATAGGGCTAGTTTCACTTTGGATTTAGAAGTAAAGCTTGAAAATTGAGATTAGTTCTTCAAATAGCCTTCCTTCGCAGCAGACGTCATTAGCAGTGGTCACGCAACGCTGATCCTATACAGTCAATAGCGCAGCGCACTAATTCTAAAAATAGCTTAAAGCTTCGGACAAACATTGCATTCTGTTTAATCGCTCACAATTTTGAAAATATGAAGGCATTAAAAAAGCGTCTCCTTCAACACTTCCCGCTCGCCTACGAAGGACAAGGCATAACTAGTCAGATAGAATTATGAAGTCAACTCAGCTTCAATGATTACTACCCAGAGTTCCTTTCGGTCCAGTCGCGTAGGCTTGAGTTGGTCGACGACAACATTTTTTGAATTGCCCTATTTCACTTTGACGTCACTGCTTGTTTATGTGGGGGATAGAATCGCCAAATCCAATAGAAAATTCAACAAAATTTGCTCCTAGCGAAACAGTTTAATCTAAAATGGCCTGCTTTTCTGATATAATATGTGTTAATATGTACTAAAAAATATTCTGAGCGTTTGYTGGCTATTCTACTTCTCTTCGTGGATTGATACAGGTTCTAGAACAATTTTCGGTGAACTTGTGTTGATTTGACCCCGTCCGACGACCATGATCCTTTGCGTTTAGGCAATAGATTGTTTTGATGTGACGTCATAGTGAAATCCCGATAATTAGTGTCGTCACGCAACGTTCACTCCCCGACACTAATCGCAGCTGCGTACGAGACTATCAACGCTTCTGATTGAATAGACTTCCACAAGAAAAAGTTCAGAGTTCAAGACATCTTTAAGAGCAACCCGAGAACCTAACCTACTTATTTTTAAGTGAATAAGTAAACACATAAATAAATGAATAAAGGCATGAATAATAAAGATATGAATAAATAAATGAATAGATAAATAATGATATAAATGAATAGATAAAATAACTGTTATGAATGTCGCGTTCTGATTGGTTTGGAGCGCGTGCTTTTTATGACAGCACATTGCACGCGCGCGCACTTTCCGTTGCATCATTTTTTATCTAAAATAAGGGTTATTGTAATTTGTATTTTATAAAAGAAACAAAAAACTTGCTTGCTGCGCTTTGTGCAGTCATAAAACACTTGGGGATTTAGTCTAATTGGCAGAAAACTCGAGAAGTGTTCCGCTACGCGTCGTGCTTCTCCTAACACTTCTCTCGTGTTCTGCCAACCCCCGCGTGCTATTATGACAGCACATAGCACGCGCGCGCGTTTTCTACTTCTTCAAGATAAATAGATAAAAAAATAAACAAATTAATAAATGACGTAAAAGAATAAATATAATTTTTCATATGATAATAATACGATATCTCTATGGGGAACATCACCTCTACTGTCGAGAGGAAATGTTCTCCACGGGCGGCTGGGGGGCTGTCCATTTTATAGAAGCTATATAGACACTGAACATCAATGCACATTTTGATTTTTCAGAATTGTGAAAATGCATACAAATCTTTTGCCTAACATAACGTAACAAGGAGAACTATTAGCGCAAATGAACTGAGGTCCTGCATTGAAATGAACTTGTGGTTTTACTGGTGAGTATCCTGGTAATCTTTATTGTACGAGACTAGAATAAACCTAATTTGTTGTTTCGCCATTCCAGACGTGTCATTCCCTTGAGTATTGTTTCTTTGGTAACGCTCGAGAAAATGCTCCGACATGCAAAGGGCTAACCGTCCGAACTATCATTATATTTGGTAGGTAGTAATAATAATAATAATAATAATAATAATAATAATAATAATAATAATAATAATGATAATAATAATAAATNATAATAATAATAATAATAATAATAATAATAATAATAATAATAATGATAATAATAATAAATATTTATATAGCGCCTATCCAAATCTGCTCTAGGCGCTTTAAACAAAAAGAAAAACCACAAAGTGTGATAGGCTGTGAGCTTTGCTTGGCGCCTGTGGCTGCCGCTACACAATCCATACCACAGGGGGAAAAAATAAATAAATAAATGATACGAAAATAAAATAAAATAAACACACACGCACGACGAAACCACGACTAAAGGTCAGACTGTTGTAACGGGTAACAATCCCCTACTCTTACGAAAAATACAACAGGATCTTTTACGTCCACTTTATCGGGGGTCAAGTGCAAGCAGACGGGACCTCAAAGATTAAAAATTAGCCAGCCCAAAGTATGAAATTATTTTGAGAAAATTTAATGATCTCATCGTATTTGCAGCTTAACAAAAAATAATCGTGCTTTGGGCTGGCTAATTTTTTTTGGCATGAAATGTAGTTAATAAATGCTTAGTTTTACTTTTTTATGCTTAATTGAAATAGAGATATTAAAGAATATTCGATTTTAAAGCCTTGGGTAACCTGTGTTTTTTGACAGCTTAGGTGTGAAATTTCACACTTTTAACCTAGTATTTGGAAAGAAAATTTTATGAATATTTTTCTTATCAAGTTACTTCTAGAATATACTGAATACAATGTGAACAAATGTTAATTGTCCAACTGACACCCACTTTAGCCAGTCCAGGTACCTTGAGGGTTTCCTTCTTATTTCGGCTTACCCGCACACTCCCAACTAGTAACCACTAGTCATTATCACCTTGAGAAAACACATGAATTACTAGTTTCAATGTCTGGATAGACGTGGGGCGTCAGATGTTGCGGGAGTGCAAACCTGTGGTACTCGGCTACTATCTTAATATCTACACACAATTTATATATAATATACCAGTCGCACTAGGGATGTGGGAGGGTAGGGGGTAGAGTAGGGGAGGAGGGCGAATAGATGGTGTTGGGATGGGAATGTAAATAGAATATAACTAATAATTAACTATGGATTTTAAGGGTTTTTATTAGGGTTAGATAGGTGTCTCCAATTAGTTTCAATAGGTGTTTCCAATTAGATCGCAAGACACGTTAATTAAGTTTATTATTATTGTTATTATTATTACAACGCAAACAAAGCATAAAAATAAAATAAAAATAAAAAATCCAAACGAGCAAGCTCTATATTCATTAAGTATCGTAAGTCATCTAATGTAAAGAATTTTAATATTCACAGATAATTTGGAAAAGATGGCAACTAGTCGCAACTGGTCAGGCTCTACCAAAGAACACTCCAATTTCGCTCGCCTATGTCGCCTCTTAATTGATGGCGGAACACTGGTAGTAAAAGATGTGTTTGATTCCATCCACCCTCCAAAATCCTTACAAGGTATTCTGCACAATCCATCGGTTCATAATACTCTGAAGCACTTGAGGAACAAAAGAGTACTCAACACACATCAGTGGAATAAGCTGTACCCTAGTATAAAATCTTCCGTTACATCATCAAGTTTTGACATTACCCTGCTAATAGTGCTACTGCGCAATATATGTAGCCTAACGCCACCTGCAACGGGATGGGATAAGCCTCCTGTAGCTGCTGATACAAGTAGGGAAGCTGATTTGGCCCGCATCAAGTTGTATAGAAACGAACTATATGGACACATCACAAGCACATCCATCAGTGACGGTGATTATGAGAAATACTGGAACGAGATTGAAGCTCTGCTGTCGAGACTAAGTGCATCTCGTTATCAAGAGGATATCAAGAGACTAAAAGTAGAAACAATGGAGCCGGAGGACGAGAAGCACTTCGTTAAAGCTATTGAAGAATGGGAAAAAATGGAGCAGACAATAATATCAAAGCTGGAAGAGATCAAAAACATGCTGAAGTCGACTTTCATTGCAGATGATTCGAGGTGTAAAGGTAGATACTTTTTTTATTTTGCTTAACTTCCCACTTTAGACAAACTAGAGTTTGGAACATTCAGAACTACAGTCAAAACATTCGGAGAGTGATCACTTTGATTTTTTTCAGGTTATTCCTGAACTTTCTACTGTTCAAACTTTCTAAAATGAAATGAAAACAAATCTTATTTCCAATCGGTTGACGAGGGATGATTTAAAGAATGTTTTTTTTTTTTTTTAAAGTGAAAAAAAACCTCCAATTAATGTTTACCAACGGTTGGAGTGTCCTCAGTGTAAGTGATGTTCTGATGAGATAAACATTTTCGGCTACAGAAAGATTAATATAAGGCACTGTAAATTGATACTCGGCTTTTCTCTTTGCAGACTACACGAAGAAATTGAAGTCATCAATAAACAACCAAACTGATTTTCAGCCAGGACTGAAAAAAAATAAGCGAATCAGGACAGACGATATCTTTACCAACGTGACCATTCGACGTGGCCAAAAACCACTTAAAAAACAACTACCAAAAGGAGGAATTGGTAAAACAGGAATAGTTGATGAAGGCGAAGGCGAAGACGATGGCAAAGACGACGAAGGCGACAAAAAAGCCCAAAATAGTTCAGCCTATGGTCATAGCGTATTAAAAAAATGCTCCGAATTATTTACGTTTCCTGTCGATAGCGATGACCAAGTACACAAAACGTGTCCAAAATCTATTCTAGTGACAGGACAAGCAGGAATTGGGAAAACGTTATTTTGTCAGAAATTGGTACGAGATTGGGCAAACGATAGACTATTCGAGGATGAAGAAATGAGAACACATCCTGATTTTCAATTTGTGTTTTTGTTGACATTCCGCCAACTTAGCCTACTTGGGCAAGAAAAGTTTAGTTTGCTTGAGTTGCTGAATCGTTCAAGTTTGTTAAACGAACAGTCGAATATGGACGATGCGGTATTTGAAAACCTTCTTCAGAATCCAGAAAAATTGCTGCTCATTATTGATGGGTACGATGAATATTTACATGACGGGGAAGTCACAGGGGATTCTGAAATGAAATACCCCAACAATCCGAGAGAAAAAATGCCTGTTTCTGTCGTTGTCGCTAAGTTACTGAAGGGGAAAATGCTGCAAAATTCTGTTGTGATGATCACCTCAAGACCTGGAAACAAAATTCATGATCTGAGAGGAAACTTTGATGTTCAAGTTGAGGTCACCGGGTTTTCTTCTCGGCAAGTTCTAGAGTTCGTTGAGAAGTATTTTAAAGACAACGAAAGTATGAAGAAAACAGTACTCAACCACTTTCATCAGCACGAGGGTGTGCTTGAATTTGTACACGTTCCGGTGATATGTTTGCTGATGTGTTATTTTCTGGAATGGCACTTAATTCATTCAGAAACTCCTGTACAACTGCCAGTAACTAGAACTGATCTGTATCACGAAGTTACTAAAGTGTTCATAAGAAAACACCATCTTCACCTAAAGTACGCTAAGAAGGAACAGGCTGAAAGGGCCGTGGAGGAAACTTTGAGAGAGCTGGCTAAGTTGGCTGCCAAGCTGCTGGAGAAAAGGAAATATATTTTTGATGAAGAAGACTTGAGCCAGTTGAAATTTGACAAGAAAGAAATGGACAGCCTGAAAACAAGTGGAGTACTTTACTGTTGCCCTGGTACTAGGAAGTCCCCGTTCGCCGAGGTATCACATGAGTACGCTTTTATTCACTTAACAGTCCAAGAATATCTCGCCGCCTATTGTTTTGTAGAGAAAAGACAAATACCAAAGAATGGCAGAGACGTGGTATTGCAGTTTATGTCTGGACTTATTGGAATGAAAAGGGACGAAGAATTGATGGCAGAATTATTAAGTTCTATGATATCAGAAGAAGGTATCGAAGCACTATTAATCGCTAATTGTCTTTACGAATACAAAGACACGGATGGCGTTAAGCGATTCATAATTTATCTTTTCGATTTTTCTTGCAATGCTGGTCTCTTTTCTTTCGATAACATTACTGATGCAAATTCTGTTAATAGTGTAACATTTGTGTTAGATGTTATAACATCATTGCACAAAGAACAACTTCAATGTTCCCAGCCATGTGATACACAGCCTTTTAATGTCGAGACATTTTCTATAAGTAATTCATTACTGACGGCGATGGGAGTGAGGCGAATTACAAGATCTTTGACAAATGTCTGGTGTACTGTGACTAGTCTTTACCTTTTGGAATGTGACTTAAAAGATGATTGTGTTGGAGCAATCGCTGATTTATTAGTATCGGGGAAACTTTTCGACTTAAATTTAAACTCTAATCATATTACTGACGAAGGAGTACCCAGTATTTCTAAATCGTTGAAAAGCGAAAACTGCAAGCTCACACGTCTAAACCTTTGTGAAAACGAAATCACTGACAAAGGAGTACCCAGTATTTGTGAATCGTTGACAAACGAAAACTGCAAGCTCGCCTTCTTAAACCTTGGTGATAACGGAATTACTGACAAAGGAGTACCCAATATTTCTGAATCGTTGATAAACAAAAACTGCAAGCTTACCATCCTTTTCCTTTGTGGAAACGAAATCACTGACAAAGGAGTACCCAGTATTTGTGAATCGTTGATAAACGAAGACTGCAAGCTCACTTTCTTAAACCTTCATGACAACCAAATTACTGACGAAGGAGTAATTAGCATTTGTAAATCGTTGACAAACGAAAACTGCAAGCTTACCAGCCTATACCTAAGTGCAAATAAAATTACAGATAAAGGGGTACACAGTATTTGTAAATCATTGACAAACAGAAACTGCAAGCTTACCACCCTATACCTTGGTGAGAATAAAATTACTGATAAAGGGGTACACAGTATTACTGAATCGTTGAGAAGCGAAAACTGCAAGCTTACCAGCCTACACCTTGATAATTATGGAATTACTGACGATGGAATAATCAGTATTTGTGAATGGTTGACAAATGAAAACTGCAAGCTTACCAGCCTAAATTTCATGCGTTGCGAATTTACTGACAAAGGAATAACAAATATTTACCAGTCAGTAATACACGAGAACTGTAAGCTTAGTGAGCTGTGGCTTAGTATAAATCGCATTCCAGCCAGTGGATTTAGTCTTGAAGGTCTTATAAAAGAAAAGAAACCTCACTTTAATTTGCATTTGGCGTTTTAAGTGATAACGAAATTACTAATAAAGGAACAATCAGTATTGGTAAATCAGTTATATGCATAAAGTCATAGTATAGTTAATAGTTAATCATAGTTAATCCCTAGCCCCTCTATTAACTATGATCATAGTAATCCAAATCTAAAGTAAGAAATATAAGTGTAAAAAGTAAATTGGCGCTTTGGTAGTTATATAGGCAAAGTACCTATGGGCTCAGTGTAGCCATCGATATGGGGCTGGTCCGACTTAATTCCGTAAACAGACTAATTTTGGAGCAGGCGTTGATACATCAGAGCCTTGAACTCCCCGTACCGCGGGGCTCTTCCGTGAGGTTCTCTCCAAACACACACCACTACATTCTCTCTCATGTTGATATTTATAGAGGGAGAACCCAGAAAAAGCCCTCTTGGCAAGGGGGAGACAATACATCAAACAAACTCAACTAAATATGATCCAGTCTGAGCCAGGCCCTCGAAACCGGACCAGAGTGTTGAGAGGCGAGCGGTAAACCACTACGCGACCCATGCCACCCAACTTTCCTAACCGGACCATATCCCATAGTGGTGGCTACGAAGTGAATCCTTAATTTTGTAAGACAATAATCTTAAGATTGATAAATATATTACAGTGATACTATAATCATATTTCCGCAATAATTTTTTTTTTTTTTTTTTTTTTTTCGCAATTTTTTTTTTTTTTTTTTTGCCATGGCAATTATCACTATTTTTTGTGGAAAGAAAATTCGTAGCTAGTAAGCTATTGTGTTTTATTATTTGCAAATTGATAAACAGTACCAGCTGAATTCTTTGTGTACATAAGTATTAATGCTATATCACACCTTAGGCCATCCGTGGTTGGACAAACATTTTTTGTCATTATAAGTATTTTTTATTGAATTGGCTTGGGTGGTTGGAAATGCCTTTCAAAGATGATAAATGTGGTATTAAATTTTGTACTATGGCATACATTCTAAATGACCACTTAAAACAAAACTAATAAACATTACAATACAATAAACAGATGTATGGTTTTAAAAATTTCCCTCAGACAGTCTGACATAAATCCTGCTAATAATGAGTTACGTTTCGCTTGAAATATGATCCCGTACATTAATTTATTTTCCAATTTCCACAAGTTGTACTTTCGAGTATATGACATGTGGTATTATCGTTTAGAAAGACCATGTAAGGGAATATCTGTTACACATGGGTGGTAGGGGTGTCATATTAAGGTTAAATAAAATGTATTTAAAGACCCCTTACCTTAAAGAATGACTAATCATGGGCTTGGCATCATGCTATATTACTTTTAGAAATTCATTACACTCCCCTGAAAAAATATCAATCATCTAAACTACATATACTATGCCTATAAATACAATGGAAACTTTATAGACATAGGCTGTGTTTTCACTAGNTTTTTTTTTTTTTTTTTTTTTTTTTTTTGCCTCGATTGAAAGACGTTTGACGATAGTGAAGTGAAATGTCACCTTCCTTTTTCAAATATCTTTTTTCCTGCTTCTTTTTTCTGCTTCATCTTAAGGAGGCTCGAAACGGTTTTTCTTGAGCGCGCGCGCTCTAGGTCCGATGACGTAGAACTTGGAAAAGGAAAAATTTTGTACTCATAAATTTTACTGTTCACTGAAAAAAATCAAAAATTCTGCGGTGAAATTTCTTCAAATTTTGCATAGAGCTTTAGTTTATGTTTTCAAAAACTTCTGTAAGAGGGAACTATAATTCCAAACAAATTTTATTGATTTTTACGAATTCTGGTCAAATATATTACGATGAAAGTTGAAATATTCCGGTTTTTAAAAAAATTCACCATTTGGTTCCTGAGTTATGCATTTTTTAAATAAACCTTTTTGATGGCATACCAAGGGTTCTGATGTTGTCATAGCAACATCTTACGTCATTTTTTCCTGTCCATTGTGATCTTTGGTTTATAGTCTTTGGCTTTCTGGGTTTACTTGCTGTCATATTATAGCCATATTAATTTTTTTAGTTCATAATTGTGAGTGTATGTGAAGGCACAAAACGCTTTCCAGCCTCCTTAAGCAAATATAACATAGTATATGTATTGAATGTATGTATGTATGTAGTATTTGTTATTTCATTTATTAAAAGCATCACTTTAAGTAGTTGTTCTTTATTTATTGAAATCTATGAAGTATAAATGTTTATGTATATATTTCCTTATCGGCTCTTGGTCTAAAAAATTAATCAATCACAGTAGGTGGCTGTCGACTCAAGAGTTTTTTACTATTTCGACAATCACACACACTTCTCCTTATTTCTATTTTTAAACTACTATTGTAAATTATTCTCATCACCATTAAGGCATGGCTCTTTTGAGGAAGTGATGGAAAATCAGTTATTTATTCATATCTTTCACAGTTTACTATGAATCTTTCCCAAATTTGGCTCGTAGTAGTAATTCTTCAAGGCAAGCAATTACCGCATATCTGTTACCAAGGAAACCAGGTCACGTGACCACAAGGCCGCCATCTTGGATTTTTTTTAAAAAATCGTTTGTAGTCGTATTGAAACTACTTCAAAAGTCCTGAAAATCCATATTCCTTTTGATATTTGCAATACCTATATGGATCTAATTGGATATCTTGGAAATTATATTAAGTTTAATTTTTATAATATTTTTAATTTTTTGGAAAAAATAGAAAATATTCTAAAAATTAAACTTAAAATAAATTCCAAGATATCCAATTAGATCCATATAGGCATTGTAAATATGAATATTAATCTGCATTTTCATGACTTTTAAAGATGTTTCGGTACGTTTACAAACGGCTTGTTTAAAAATCCAAGATGGCGGCCTTGTGGTCACGTGACTTAGTTTCCATGGTAACCAAGGCTCTAAGGTTCCTTCTTTTCACAAAAGACATTAACTTGCCAAGTTTGGGGAAGATTCGTAGAAAACTGGCTATGATATAGCTAATCAGTTTTTCATCTGAGAGCCATGCCTTAATGATGCTGAGTTGGCTCTTGTAATTTTGTTAACAATTTTATCTTAGTAATAATTTCGTATGAGTTTTGATCCCAAATTTCGTTTTGCGTTAATACTCAAAACCTTTTTTGAACAGTTAGAAACTGATGTACTATGATAAAATGCCTGTCTGAAGCGGTATTTTCAATTGCACAAAGATGTTTTGTTGCATTTGTGTTAGAATGTTGCTTTGTCAGGCTTTTTTTATAGAAAATATATGGGAAATAAGAAAATGAAGGCCTAAACCTCATTTTCGAATAAAAATTTTGCTTTGCGTTAACACTTTTATTCCACTTTCATCGGTCATCTCCACTTCCAAACAATTTAAACTTTCTGAACAACAAGATTTTAGCCTTGTACAACAGCCTTTCTTCAAGAAAATAGTTTTTGGCGCTCACTGCTTGAATACGAAAAGAATTCTCTCTTAATATGTGTGTAAATAAATAAAAGTTCAAAGTTCAAGATCCTTCAAAAGGATGTTATTGAAGTTTAAAAAATGGTGGCCCTGATTTTTCCTTAAGACGTCATATTCTAATACTTAAGCAAGTATTGAATTGAGCAAGCATGCGTGTGATCAAATACGCGGTTTAGCCAATGCAATGGAATAGGGATTTTGTGGTGTTGGGATGGCTTGGGAATCAAGGATGGAGTAAATCAAAGTTAGTAGAGTTTGCTAGGTCTTCCTTGCTTCCAGCTGGGTTTTTCTCGGACGGGCTCTCTCGGTTTGGCTCCATCTATAAAACCAATTACGCCCTGATATATCTATCAACCTCGAGATTGTTTCAGGGTATTGAGGACTGATGCAGTCAGTTTGTATTTGACTGACGTGGAGGGACACAGCGCTAGAGACTCGTTTACCCCAAAATGTTACTCCCATTTCAGCGTCAAAATGTACTTACTAACGTAAGTAACGGTAAAGTAAAGAGTGCAATACTTCAACAATCCAAACACTTTGAAATTTCACGGACTTGGAACTGGAAGATGTAAAACTACACAAAATCGAGCCTAATCCCTGTGACGTCTTAGCCTCGATGCTGATTGACTGTTTTAAGATCTACGTGCAACCGCATAAAAATGTTTTTGGGTCTTTTTGTTTTGTCATCATGTCAATCGAAATGGCGTTCATCTCTTGATAAGCGTAAGGGGAATTGAAGGAACAGAAGCCCATACACGGCGGCAAATTTGGGAATTCAAAACTGTGGCATTGTACGCACATTTGGACATGGCTGATCAATAGTGTCGGTCGTTAAGGTTATTTATTTCATGATCACGCTGACCCCTAAATACCGTGGCTCATTTTTCAGTCGAGTAACCCTTTTTTTTTTCGCCCCCTAAAACTTCATTCTGGTGTTCTCACCCAACTAGAGATTTATTAGATCAAATTTATGCATTTTTTCTAGTAAACTAATTATTAAGCTTAACTAATGACAACTAACCCGAACGTTTCTTCAGTTAATGTTTATGGGTCTTTACTAGCCACCTGTTAAGTGCTTCAATCCCAGTCTCCTCTCTGCTCATGTATTATTCATGAGGAAGTTCAAAATAAATTCTCAGTGATATAATTTTTTCCAATATAGATTTCAACCTTATTCAGTCTTACATTTCAGCTTATATCCGCGTGGTTGGGAGCCTAGTTTGAGGTAAGTCAAAGCAGTAATAGTCGACTCTTGATGTTAGTTACAGCAGATGTTCGCGAATTTTCGTCTTTTCTTCCAAGAACTGTTTTCATATCATTCGTGGTTTCAATCTATTTGTTCCCTTGATTCATGAAACGGTCTAAAATGGTCCCATGCTAGTCGAAATACGTACAAAAGTATTAGTTTCTAAAAGATAAAATGACTCCGATGTGATGACCAAAAAAGCAGTAGTTATCAAAGGATTTAGATTTTAAGGAGTTTTTTAAAAATGTATATCGATATTGTCCGACTAAAGCTCATTTACAGGTGGATAATTTACCTACAGGGTCATACTTCGCTCTTCCAAAACGACAGTCTAAAAGATCAAGTCTCTATTAGGTTTAAAAAGTGACTCTGAAAATTTAAAGACGATAATGAAACTAGAAATTCATTTCATTTAGATATCATGATGATTGAATTTTTCGAAGTTTGTTTTAAAGTTAGTGGATGGTGATAGAAATACTATAGTTTATAATGACTTCACTGTTTAGGTTGAACACTTTTGGTTGCAATGAATAGCTTAAAGACAAACCACTTCCAGTGCCAAAAGAGTTGAATTCATTTAGCAGATGAATGGGGCTTTTAAAAATGCTAAATTTTACGCAAGTGTTAAATACGTTTTTCCATCGTGTTCTTTAGATTATAACAGTGTATTGAATTGGTTGGTTGAATTGGTTTTGAAGCTTTTATTACCAGCAATATTTAAACTTGTGTTGATACAAAAAACTGTCAAAATCAGGCAAGGTGACAACTATTTTCTGGTCTTGTCCTCAAACGCAATTGTGGAATTTAAATAAACAAATGTTATGCTTGCTGATCTGAGCTTTCATGTCATCTCTCATACATAAAAATATGAGTTTTGGCACAAAACGAGAAAATATTCGGTGTAATATAAAATGCGATACGCTACTTTACTCAGGCTCCGAACGGTATAGATAATCGACTTTCCAATCCAAGCAGATTGTCTCATTTTCGTTAAGTCACCTAAGAAGAAACGGCAAACATTGAAAGAGTCAATAGAGACCTTTAGCACGACGTTCTTGCTAGGTACCGTAAACCCAAACTGCAGTTCGACGTCAAGCGTTTTCGGTCAAATTTTCGATTGTTAGAAGACGTCATAACGAAGTTATTCCTGAAAGAGCCGCCATATTAAATTTCATTGATGCTGAGGGGGGCGCGTCTCTGGGCCCGATTTCTAGCGGTTAGCGGTAAGCCTGATGCTAAAGGTCTCTAATTTTGGTATGACTGAAACGGGTACTGCACGTGCATGCAAACGCCAGTATGCAGAATTGACATAATAATGCTCATTATAACCTTAAATATAAAGTTAAAAATGCGACTGAAAAAAATATTTTCTAGCTGTCCCAAGTACATACAGTCAATGTTGTCCACCGAAAAAAGACATTTACACATATACCACTTACACATTTAGACATTTAGACTAAAAGAAATATCACGTGTGTTTCATTATGTATTCTTTGCCTCGTGTGCGTCAACCTGAACTTTAAATGCAAAATTCAACTCGTGAATCTATAATCTAGAATGCCCTGACCATTTAGTGAGGATTTAAGATGGAGAATGGTATTTCAGCGTTTGTTTTATGCCAGAACGTTCGAGGAAACACGTGATATTTCTTTTAGTCTAAATGTCTAAATGTGTAAATATCTAAATGTGTTAATGTGTAAATGTCTTTTTTCGGTGGACAACGTTAATGACATTGACTGTATATAATATACAAGATATAAAATTCAAAAAGGGGGAGAATGTTTACAGACGGTTTTTGAAGTGGGTTTCTGTTCGAACAGCATGGAGAGTAGTTTATACGCGAATCACTGTTCCCTAGCCATCATCGTCATTGCTCAGTCGTCCTTAATCTTTTCTCTTGATTTTTCTATTGCTTTAGGGCAGATGAAGCCTATCAAGATTTAATTTCCGCGTTTAAGATTTCTAACGTCGAACTAAAGAACCCGTCAGCTCTTCGTCTCGTTCATGGAGCTGATTCACCTAGCTTCCCTGACACATCTTGTCAGCCTTATGTTTTTATTTACTAATGTATTGGCACAAAAATACACAATGAAAGCCAACCCAGATGGCACGTATCTATTAATACCTGCGTCCGCCGGTACGAATGGGGAAGGTCTGCTGGATCTGAAAAAACTGGCTCCTATTCCAGTCACGAATACAAAAGAAGCACCTGGGACGAACTCTCAGACTCCACAAATGGTTATCGCCAGTATGGTAAGGATTTCTGGTCAATTTTCATTGATTGACATTTATTTTTGGTTTACTTTAAACCCTTCATTGTATATTTATCAGCCCACAGCAGGGCAGAGTGGTGCCGCCACACAAGGGACGTCAGCAAGCCAAGGGCCTGGTGTTGCAGGTGCAGCTAGGCCAACGCGCAAACCTGGACTCAGTCCCTCGCAGCCATCACCAACCGCGCAAAAAACTGGAGCAAATACAGTAAGTAGCAAGCTAGTGGTCTGGTTTCTAATTCTCCGTTGGTTCTTCGATGTTTGTCGAATATTCATGTTTTACATTGAGGTTTGGATTTTCAAAGTGTGTATTGCTGAAGTTGTGCATTGTATAGCTTCACGTTGGCATGATTTGTGAATATTTTGACGATGAATTGAGGCTGAATAACGGAGGCTATAATAAAAGAACATAGTGGTATTTTACAAAACCAGAGAAATAACTTTAACATTTCCATGTTTACAGCAAAAGAAACCTTCTCAGGGACCAACCCAAGCGCAAGTCACGCAGGGTGGAGCAGGAGGTTCTAGCAAGGGTCCTAGCGGTGGTCCGCCATGTACCGGACCGACATGCAAACCTAAACAAGTAAGAAGAGAGAAATCCTTTTGCATTCAATATAAAACCATGATTGCTTGGTCTCATTTGAAGTCATTTCCTTTCTCGTGCGGAATGCTCATAACCTGAATCGCAAGTCACCAGGGAATACTTTCTGGCAACACGCAACATGCTTACGCCAAGTTTTAGCTTTCATGAACAATTTGTATGGTCGATTTGCACGAAACAATTTGTGCAGTCGTCTGCATGATGCGAGGAAAATCGTACCGTGTAAACCATGGTGGGGATAAAGTTATGCTTGGTTTATTACTAAAATGGTCAAAGTCAAATAGTATTCTTTCATTGCTTCAACTGATCATGATGAGCTATAGATGTTACTGTTGGGCGAAATGACTCGATAATTCTGTTTGTTTATTGTAGAACCTTATGACCCTCGCACTGAAGGGAAAGGATGGTGCCGCAGGAAAACCAGGTCCAAAGGTACTCTTACACCACCAACGCAACTGCAATATAATAAAAGACTCTTGTGAATTTTCTCATGATCTGTTTTGATCATCTCTACCATATAATCAAACTCGTCAAACTTCTCAGTTCGACACACGACACACATCCAAATAAAAAAGTGCATTTTTTGACCACCAACGCTTTGTACACGTTTGTACTTTACACTTATATCAACATATTTTAAGCCATGATGCTGTGTGTTTTGCCAATAATAATATTAATTCCAAGTTATACATGTCCATTTCCTTTTACTTCATCTTCAGGGTCCTCCTGGCCCTAATGGTGCCCCAGGCCCTCAAGGAAGCAAGGTACGCGATATTACCACATTGATACTAAATGAATAAATACTAATCTACTTATACTTACCCGTCACCATAGAAGCGCGAGAGCTAAATAACGGTGAGACCACAAAGACTGACGATCATGGGAGCACATTGCAAGCAGAACTCTTCATCAGCGATGCAAACTTTAAAGCATCGTACGAATAGTGAAGTCACTGAACCAGTGAAATAGATATTAGACTAATACACATTTGTAGACTCTAATTCCATTGTCTTCTTTCGTGTCTATTTGAGTATTAACGTTGACTAGTATTTATTTCTATTTCACGGGTTAAATGCCTTCACTGTATATTATACCTTGAGTATGTTTCTAAGTTGCCATGGTAAATGGCCTCGGCAAACATTCTCATGAAAGTGCTAAGAACATGAGAAAAAATTAGACACCCATAATTCTTATCGGTCGCACCTTTGTAAACTAAGTTTTTCGAGTAACTAACTTGATTTGAATAAGTATATAGACCCCTTGCACTGAGTCCCAAGAGGAATTGTTCTGGGGGACAAAACAACGAATAGGCCGTCTTTTCTTATGCAAAAAATCCATTGTTTTGTCCCCCAGAACAAATCCTCTCAGGACTCAGTGCAAGGGGTCTATTCGCTGTACGTGCTTAATAGATTTACATCATTTTACCTAGGGACCGAAGGGTGAACCTGGAACCTGTCCACCAACTCCGGTAAGCCAGTCTTATCATAGCATCGTCAGAAGAGTAGTGGTCATATCAAATATTTGAATGTAAAGTAAAGGTTGGAAAAATCGGGGAAAAAAAATTAAAGTAATTCATTTTTCCGATTTTATTTCAACATTTCACTTGGTCTAAATTTCTAAATTGGTCTCCCTGTGGTTTTTCTCTGACTCGTTTCCCGAAATTCCATGATCTGTGATCTTTCTCCCGTCACAGAAGCGTTTTTGGGGTAAAGTTTTTCCCCGAATTTACTTTAGGTTTTGAAAGATATTCGTTTATAAAGAAGCACACGTTCGTTCTTCACTAAGAAAACCTTTTTTTGTATGAATTGCAGTTCCAGTGTTCGCCTGGAATCTTGGCCACTCTTCAAGCAAAGATAAATGCCCTTGAAAAACAGTGCAAGGTACGTCGTCAACTGACGCAAATCGGTTGAATTAGATTAAATGAACAGATAGGATTAAAAATCTATCTGAATCAGATTGGATGAACGCATAAGAATAAGAATGCACCTGAAATGGATGTGATGAACGAATAACAATGACGCATCATAAGAATATAGATTGTATGAACGGATGGAATAAGAGTGTACGCGTAAATCAGATGGCAAATTAGTGAAAAATGTCAGTGCGTTTGAAAACGTCACTTCCCCTATTGTAACCTTTATTTTTTTCCCCGTAAATTTTTAGAATGCCGCAAGTGGTGGTGGTGCGGGCGGAAGTGGTGGTAAAGGAGGTGGACAACCTGGAGGAGGAGGTGGAGGAGGAGGCGGAGGAGGAGGCGGAGGAGGAGCTCCTCCATGTCATATAGGAAAATGGTGAGTACGGCTCTGCTTAGATTTTAAAGTTTACGGCAGCCATCAACCGATCTAGTATCCAAGGAGCGTGAGGTTTATGGTTTAAAGAAGGGATGAAGAAAAACAAGAGCAAGAAAGCGTTCTAAAACAATAGTTTTACTTTATTTTTCATTCGAATCATGCGAATTAAGCTCACGCTTGGAGCTGGGGATACAACCGCGATGTCGCTACAGTAATAACCCGCATATAAGAACCTGAAATTTTCGATTTAGCCTAAATAGGTTCTTATACAAATGGTACTTAAAGCAAATTTAGCCTAAATAGGTTCTTAAAATAGGTTCTTATATTTTTATATCAATTCCATTTAAATATATCATATATATCATAAATATATCAATATCATGCATCTCATAATACAATATAAATCAATAATTTCTTACCATACAGGGATGTGTATAGGCAGTCCTGTGTAGGTGCAGCATACAGTACATGTATGTTGTTAACAAAACAACTAAACAAAATCAATTCCAAATTAAAAACTGTATGGTTCTAGACCCTGAGGTTTAACCATTTCATCATTTGTGCCATCAGCTGTCATTCTAATGAAAACAGCCAGTCTTTGAAAAGAGTTTCTTAGCAAACATCTTGTCTTTACAACAACCCCACAAATAAGAACCTAACAAMATTTTACCCTAAATAGGTTCTTATATGGATGGTGCATAAAATGAAAATTTTAGCCTAACAGGTTCTTAAACCCCAGGTTCTTATACGCGGGTTATTACTGTATAGGTAATGTGTGACAACACTAGATATTGCGAAGAGGTTATTTCGATCCTCAGTGACTTTCCACACCTATCTTAACTTCTTTAGTGATGTCTAACCTTGACCTGGCTAAGCTTCATCAGCTTTGATAAATTCAAGTATCCTTTACTCTTACTTCTTTCCTTAATGTACGTATAAATTGTTGTTGTTGTTGATCCATGAAATTTTTGCTTTAAAATCTTGGGCGTCGGTGTTGCGACACAAGTTGCATGGAGCATTGCAGCGTGTAACCTACAGCGCAATTTGAAAAATGTTGTGAGACAAGTTGCAGCAATCGTTGCAGAAAGTAGAATTCGTTTTTACTTTTGGCAACGATTGCGTCTCCGTTGCACCGTGTAATCACTCTTGCAACTTGTGTCGCTTCGCCGTTGCGAGAAAAGTTGCAGAGAAAATTGCACCTTGTAATCGCGCCTTATTGAAGACGTTAACTTTATACCCAACGCATTTCAACTTTAGCATTCTCTTTACCATCACGTCTCTAGGCCCTTGATATGGGCTGTTTAATAAACTATCTTTGTTTTTGTTTGTGTCTCAGTAAGGAAAACCCAGCCACTAACTGTCAAGTTATCTACATTCAAACTCCAAGTTCTCAAAGTGGTACTTATTGGATCAAAGGAGTCAAAGGTGCTTTCCAGGTAAGTGTGGAAACTTCAAGAACAAAATATAGTCAAAGGTTGGCTTTTGGAATACCAGCCACACCATAGTTACTACACTTCTTCATATAATCAATCAATAATATCGAAAAAATAGGGACACCTCTGTCTATCTGTCCCCTCTCTCACACTAGCTCGCTTATCCAATTTAAAATAGTTAGGTCGGCTTGGAAGATACCCAGCGAACTACAGTTTTGACACGTCTTCATGCATCCAGTCAATAACATAAGATACGGGAAGACACCTCTGCATATCCGTGTCTTCTCTAGCACACTCGCCTACCTAAAGTTTCTTACTGCTAAGCATATTGTATACAAACCGTCCCATTCATTCTACATGAAGGTGTAGTGACCCTATGGTCCTACTGCTAAGCAACTTTTGGCTGTGAAACTTACAGTTGGGTCCTGAGGGAAGAACGGGTCTTATGCCCAATGTTCACTTTATTTTCACGTAGCTCTTTTTAGAGAGTGCGCTGATGTGTCAGGCCAAAAGATAAGAACGTAAATGTTTTAACAGTCTTCGTAGCGGCCCAAAAGGGATTTCCCCCTAGTTCCCCACTCCACTGAACTGCTACGAAGGCTGTTTTCATGAAAGTTTTAATTGGAAATGTTAGGTGGGATGGGTAATATTGCGCAATATAGGAGTGCGCATTGTCGTTAGTACTCATCGGCTTTAGAGAACCAAGATATAACATTAAAACTCCATCAGAGATGTTGCACCTTGTTAATTAAGGTATTAAATAATGTTTCAAAAATGAGTCAATCGATCTAGTACTGTTAGTACTGTTTGGAGGCCCGGCTAATCAATCACTAGTAATATGGTCGGCATCCAGCAAACTGCGGTACGCGCTCCTATATCGCCAACATTGGACTTTACTCCCAAAATACTGAGCGCTATTGCTAAATTCATGGCCTCGCATGATTTTTAGACCCTGTGCCAGTTCGAGCCCATGGCAGCGAAGGGTTGGACGCTCGTAGCGCGTATCCAAGGCGTTGGCATTGGGTTTTCTCCCGTCAGCAACATATGGGCAGATTCTTCGACTATAAACGAACTCTCCTCGCCCGACAAAAATGCAATTTCATCCATGAAAAATCGAGGATGGTCTGAGTTAAAAGAAAACGCTTTGAGAGTGTGTTACGATGGATCCGATTCACACTGTGCAGACTTTACGCATAACAAGGGGATAACTCTAACTGAGTTGTTTAATAACCAATTTGGAGTCCAAGTCGATGAAAAATATACCTTCGGGTCACTGCTGAAAGCGTTTGGCAAGACGTGTGACACAGGGCGAATGGTCCGCCAGTGGTGCGGACTTAACGTAGCGAGTATTTGCCATCCACAGGACATTAATCCTAATTTGAATCCAACCAATCACATTGCGAGGATTGGGTGTGTCGGGGATATCCTCTCTACTTGCGGACCTGATGACTTTGCGCTGGGTATTGGAGTCTCGAGTTGCTATGACAACTACGGTTGTTCGAAAGTTGGACCAATGACAGCGAACCTTCACTACGCATGCGTGCCTAATTATGGGGTTTATAATCAGACTAGCTTTATCTACGTAAACTAAATCACTAGACTTGCTGATTAAAAGCTCTTTATAATTTGCAGTATATATAGATCTTAACGCTTTTATATAAACAAAAATGGCCTAAAATGTATTAGAATGTCCAGGTATTTGCCCAAATGACAAAATGACTTGGCTGAATAATGGCATGATCGGAGGATAAAAAATAAAAAATACAAGATAAAAAATGGTTCTAATGACGCATGACACGGCGAATACATATTAAAAAAAACAATGGAAGAAAAAAAGATTAGATGCACGGAAAGATTTGATGCGCGGAAAATAAAAAAAATATTGCATAGAAAATGGACATAACGACTGAAAAGAAATAAAATAAACGTAAATGTGCAAAACGATGCTTGCATGTGAAAGAGGCTGCGACAAACACAAATTAAGCGGCTATAAGAAGCATGTATGTAAAGCTATAAAGTATGCAAGATTAAAAGGAGCTGCGCCGATGACATGTAAATGCATGCTGAACTGTATATCTAGCTGTGCACAAGACCCTGGAATAAAGACGATGCTAAAATGAATTCGAGCTGTTGGTTTATCATCCTATGAAACAAAACCGTTGGACTCAAGTTGCAAATGATGCAGAAATTTGAAGAGAAATGAGACGTTAAGGATAAAGTTCTTTTTGCCCAAGCGTTGCTGACGAGAGAAAAACCGTGCCAGACGACATCCAAACGCATGGTTGTTGCGAATAGATTTTAATCTTAGTTAAATGTAGGGCTTTCTTAGTGGTGAAATGACTCGAAATTTTGCCCCATATTTTCAGACTCGTTGCCTGATGATAAAAGATACACCAAAAGATATCCATAACCCGGATGTAGCCAAACCTCCTAAAGGAGGCTGGACACTAGTGGCCCGAGTAAATGGCGCTGGCACGGATTTCTCTCCAATCAGCGACAACTGGTCGAATAACGCAACATTTAACGCGGCAACATCGCCTGATTTGACCCAAACGACCTCCATGAAGAATGATGGATGGATGAGTCTGAAGGGAAATGCAATTCTGTTGTGTTTTACTGGCGGGGATTCGGGATGCGCCCCTTTTACTCACAAGCGCGGGACCTCTCTACAAAAGCTCTTCAAAAGTCAATTCGGAGTCGTTCCCGAGGAGCAGTATTCCTTTGCTACGTTATTAAAAGCTTTTGATAAAAGCTGCGACCTCTCTGTTCTGCGGCAAGGATGGTGCGGACTCAACATGGCCAACACATGCGATCCAACTAAAGAGGACCCTAACTCTAAGCCAATAACCACGACACATATCGTACGTATTGGGTGTATTGGTGATCGTGCGGCAACCTGCTTCCCCGATGACTATGCACTGGGGGTGGGGGTGAGTAGCTGTAAGGACGGGTATGGCTGCTCTACGGTGGGTGAATCCAAGAACATGCATTACCGGTGTGATTATATACACGGGACATTTATGCAGACAGGATTTCTGTACGTGATGTAATGATGAAAAAGATAAATATGCATGCAAATGCTTTATGCCATGAACACATATATGTGACCTAGATGACGTCAGTGTGACGTATTTATGACATCAAGACTTGTAACTGACCTAAGTAAAGTCATACCTGATATATGACGTGTTTATGACACCAAGATATATAAGTGACCTATATAATGTCATACATTATATATGACGTATTTATGACATCAAGGCATTTATGTGACCTAAATAAAGTGACCTTAAATATGACACAGCTGTGACAGCAGAGAATAGGCTATCTTTGAAGCAAGATTCTAAATTACTCTGATCCTAATCTGCACATACCTATGACATCGGAAGATAGACAAGAAAGGATATCCCTAATTTCTAGGCACGTGCTTCCGGTTGCTATCAACCCCTTAAAAAAACACGTATATGAAAAAGTCATTGCGGCCATTTTGGATGACCGGAGATTTTTGAAACCATCCAATATGGCAGCCATGCGGCCTTTTAAAATCTCGTTCTCCTCTGTATCCTTCCTAGATTGAAGTTGTTGAACAACAAACCATATTTCCAAAAAAAACAAAAAAAAAAACGATATGAATTTTTAATCTCTACCTGCATATAGGCAAACAAGTTTTGCAAACAACTGCTTTTTATTGTGGATCCGGAAGAGTGTTTTTTATGAATGTCGTAAAATGTAGCAGGTAGTCAAAGAAAAATATTTGCAGTAAAACGTAAAGGTAGTTATTGGAATAATCATTTATAGAATTAGTGACTTAGAATGAAAAGCGAATAAAAGATGATTTTATTTAAGTACGACTTTTAATTCCTGGTGAAAAAAATATTATTCCATAGCAGTAACAAGGGTCAGTATTGCCAAGGGTCAGTATTGTCAAGGGTCAGTATTGCCAGGGGTCAGTTTTGTCAAGGGTCAGTATTGCCAAGGGTCAGTATTGCCAAGGGTCAGTATTGCCAGGGGTCAGTATTGCCAAGGGTCTTGGGGAAGATCCTGGAGAAGGTCCTGTCCAGTCCAGGGGAGGAACCTGGCCATTGGGAGGTGGGGAGATGGGGGATGTGTCTTTTGGGAAGCTAACTTAACGGGGGGACACACGAAGATAATCACTTGACCCATACTAACAACAAGACTGTAGGAGTGTTGATCCGCATATAACAATGTCTTTTGTTTTATCGTATCTTGTTATAGATCAGAAATATATTATATAATGAATATTCGAGATCGATTGGCTCACTGACAGCAGAAAACCAACAAGGTGCAACATTCTAGAACATCATTATACCACGTGTGTCCTACAAGTATTTACTCAACCCCCTGTGAATTTGTAGTAAGGACTGGGTACGAGAATGCTCTGGGGTACGAAGACTCTCTCGTTCCAGTCCTCCGTTCCCTCACATGATCGAGAGAAACTACGTCACCCACAATACAGCATGATATGAAGTTAATCTTTTGAGGAGGAGGAGGAAGGAGAGGAGAGGGGAGATTGAGTAGTATGCAAAGAGAATAAGTCATATCATGTATCTTGACGGTATATGACGTGAGGGTCGTGTATTGAGTATGTTACATTATACAACATGTCCGCCTTTTTTTTGTCGCCTTGTTTCCTTTGGAATGCTTCCGAAACTATAAAATCAAAAAGGTTGGAAAAGCCTCTTATAGATGCAGACAAAAATTGAAATATTATGTTAGTCAAGTTTCGAAGCATTTGAAAATGGTCATACTGAAAATCTTGAGAAAACGGTTTCGTTTATGACATTTCTGCAAAAACATCGACCATAATTAGTCAGTAATGTATAGACGATTATTACAAACGGTAAGCTAGAGTTATCACAAATCGTAAAAGTTTAATTTATAAAATTGAATTAAATGAGCCTGTTTATATGAAGTGTGGGTGACCGTACTGCTGGGGATTCAAGTGTCCCCCTGGAAAGGAAAACAAAAGATTTGTCCCTAGCAGAAGAGTCACCCTACTCTAATACACTCGGGGTTCCATAGGCTGTTTACGTGAGTTTAAGCCGAAGAATTTTGCTCATTTATCAGAGCATTCTCCGATGCCCAACTCTTAATAAACCCCTTACTAGCCTCTTGAATTAATAAATGCTTATTCATGCTGCCTGTGGATAACAAGAACCAATGTACTTGCCGCCACTGTACTCGTGGATTTTGATGATGACATCATACTCTTCCATGTCCAGGTGGACGTCTTTTCCTCCACCGGCCAGGAAGCAAACGGTGTACATGGCAACCTCAAACTCTGGGCTGGTTCCAATGAAGGAGCTGCCTAGTGGTTTCATACCATTCTTCCAGGAAAATTTGATGGTCATTAGCTGGCATTCCTTCATTTCCTCGCTACTAGCGCGTCGTTTCTGAAAGCCAAACACGTATTAGTTTTTTGGTTTATTACTGAGATGCATGTGACGTCATAGCCGCCATGCTGGTTGGCTTCAAAGGAAATTTTAGTGTTGGTTCCTTTTGTTATGTCGACCAACATGGCGGCCATGTGTCTTGTCCTAGTGCATGTACTTGTTACGTCATGACAAAAGAAACTAAGACCAAGCCTTACGTCAAACTGTCAACAAACATGGCGGGCACGTCTTTTGTCCTTGTGCAACTGACGTCATAGCCGCCATGTTGGTTGATTTTAACAAAAAAAATGGTATTGGTTTCAATTCTTTAATTATGCTAACCAACATGGCGGATATGTCTTTTGAACTTTATTCTCGTTGGACGAAATTCATGACACCAACAAATAATTTACATTAGACGCGATTAAGTAAGCATCCAAACTCATGGAACAAGATAATTCCCAAGATGATATGCAGTAAACTTGCATTGCCCCACAACATTGAAGATACAAAGCCCGCAATGCCTGATGGGAAGAGAAAGTGGAATACCTCAGAATATACAACGGCTTTCCTGCATTCTGATTGGATGTATTTTCTCTTGTAGGTCTTTTGCAAATATGGGTAAAAAGATGATCATTTTCACAGCACAAGAAAAAATGAACTCCATAACAGAAGAAGAACTGGCGATTTTTCTGAGTCGACATGCTCCACAAGACAAGACTTTCTAAATATTGTATTGCGAACGTAGTCTAAATCCTCTGGTTAATTTACACTCAGATTAGTTATTTTATATAATAAAAACTGATGAAAAGGGTTGTCGTAGTTATATGGTTGCGTGGGACAGTAACAAAAATGGATTTAGCTTATTTTGAAACAAGACGCTCTTGGAGCGTGCACTGGGTTGCCAAATATGCTGGTATGCTGGAGCTCATTAAACACCTAATCTTTCTTTGGAACATAGGTGTATTTTTCTTTCCGAACTTCCAAAAACTCATTTTTTCTCACATCAAATTCATTCAAAAGTGTACACCTTATAAACGTGCTTTTTTAATAAAAATGTACCGCTATCGTATATCTTTTAAAAGTGTAATGACACTCGATTAGTAAAACTATACAGGTGCGGTTTTGTAACCGGAGAAAACATCGTTGCGTTACTGACGTCACCAAGGTTTAATAGGATTCAAAAAACTAAAACTACACTGACAACAACTAACGTGACCCCAAGATTCGTGACGTCTCACGACATAAATATATTTCTTTCAAGATAAATGGCCAAATAAGCGCATGAATGCGCATGCAAGACTACCCATATTATATAGGGTCATATACATACTGCGGTTTGCATTAACTTTGACCCTTTTGTGCATATATACAAGTATATCAAAAGTATATCAAATATTATGGGATATCTCTGATATTTTTTTCAGAAAGCCCTAGTGATAGACAACTCGAAAAAAATCACAGGGATGATATCCAATAATTTCTGATATACTTTTGTTGTAATTGTATATATATAAGAAGATATATAACTCTCGAGAAAGAAAAACGAAGGCATTTAACGACTGGGCTGCAACAGGCAACCCAGTAAACAGTTTTGAATATTCACCTTTTGAAAGGCCATGGATAATCTTAATGTATAGAAAAAACATGCCCAACTTCTAAAACTTGTTGTCCTCTTGCAAATGCCCAAATTTTTAGTGTTTTTTAATTTTGGAAAATCCGGAACCGTACATAGATGGAATGGACTGGACTTCGGTCGGCTGGATCGTACGGAACGTAGACGTTTTTTTTAAGCCGAATTGGCAGCTTTTGTCGTATGATTTGTATTTTATTATAAATAACTAGTGATTCTATTCCGAAATTTTGCACACACACAAAAAAAGCAATTTTTTGAAATGTTTTGGATCGAGGCACTGGTTGATATCCTGTGAAACCGATCAGCGGTGAAGGTCTTTCAAAGGACTGTATACACATCATGTGTCTATCGGTGACTCTGCGGATCATTACAGATATTTACGACTAATTTTCCTCCATTAAGATGCTATTAAGATAAATTGGATGTCATTTGGATGTGACTAAAATGTATTGGAAGTGACTGGGCCTCAGTCAGTGACTGGATCTTGAATCACAAAAAAAAGGTTTTGAATTTTCAGCTTTTGAAAGGCCAGGGATAATCTTAATTTACAGTATAAACATGCCCAACTTCTAAAACTTGTTTTGCTCTTCTAAATGCCCGATTTTTAAGTGTTTTTTAATTTTGGAAAATTCGGAACCGTACATAGATGGAATGGACTGGACTTCGGTTGGCTGGATCGTACGGAACGTAGACGTTTTTTTAAGCCGAATTGGCAGCTTTTACCCTATGATTTTTTATTAATCATTAATAAATAGTTATTCTATTCTGAAATTTTGCAAAACAAATGAAAAAAAATATTTTTTTTTAATATTTTGGATCGTGGCACTGGTTGAAGTCCTGTAAAGCCGGTCGGCGGAAAGGGTTTTTCAAAGTCCTGTATGCATCATGTGTCTATAGGTGACTCTGTGGATCGTTACAAATATTTACGACTAATTTTCCTACATTAAGATGCTATTGAGATAATTGATCTGAAGATGACTTCCGCTCAGGCTGTCGAAACGTCAGTCACATCAAACAGTCCTTCTCAGGATTACATCCACCCGGACGATCATAATACTTTGATTAATGAGGCACTCAATTGAGACAGTAAAGTATTAAAAAAAACAGTCACGCTGCCCCGGATGACGTAATTTGTAATTTAAAATAGCAAACTAACAAAACCTATTGTCAAAATAATTGCCACGAAAATATCATAATGATAATGGTAAAAGCAATGAATCCAACTATCCATTTTCCTCGAAGGAATAATCAAAGTACCTCGGAAAAAACCCCTCCTTGCCAACTTTACTGATTATTTTCTATAAAAAGGCCCGCTGAACGTTTTGGCCAATTGTTTTTTTTGTTTGTTTGGTTTTTTTTTTGTTTTTTTTTTGTTTGTTTTTGTTGTTGTTGTTGTTGTAAGACAATTTCAAGATTTACCCTTTTCACCATTTTGAATCATGCTTACTGAAACTGATTTTGTGAAAGTCAATGTCACATATATAGGCTGTGCAAGTTCTAAATATAGGAAAATATAGGATTTTTTCCCAAAAATATATGCACTTTATAGGAGCTAAGATAGCTTTTCGGTGGCGTAACATTTTATTTCCTTCGCCAAATATGCTAAACAGCGTAAAATATAAATGTATCAATCAGCAGTCCTCCTATTTATAGGAAATATAGGAGGTTTTCTTTAAATATAGGCTCTTTATAGGATCCTATACAAATTATAGGAAATATAGAGAATATAGGAGGTCTGGAATGCCTGCGTAAACTCTGCTCTAGTGTTTAAGTACCCTTCGGTAAATCGCTACCTGTGATGTTGGTATCCTTATTAAAGATTATTATTATTACTTCTAATCAATTCAAATTCTTACATTTCTGTTGGGGAAGAATCCCTTGTAGTCAACGAGTCCAGCTTTCTCCTGAAGGTAAAACTGAATCCAGTTGTGGAAGCCAATGACTTCTTCCTTGTTGCGTGTTTCTCCGACAAACACGTGTTCAAATCCTGAAGAGTCACCTCTGCAGCTGTTAGTAAGAGGAAAAATTTCTTTAGACATTCATTTCAGTCTTTTTCCACCCTTGACCCCAGAAACATAACATTCTTACTGCACATGCTCAACGAAATGCCGGAAATTTGAATTTTAAAGAGTGAGTTCTAATGGTCGTGGCTAGATAGACACTCTTTAAGTAAGGTGTCCAAGGGGGACTAGTTCCAAATTTTCCTATAATGCTTTCGAAGAATCATTATCGGTTACCCCGAAATAAGGTGATTTGAAAAAAGGATACTCTTAAATATGGTTAAGGATACCCTTGAATTTGGTCATTTGAAAAATGGATTTCCTTAAATATGGTCTAGGATACCCTTAAATATGGTCATTTGAAAAAAGGATACTCTTAAATATGGTCAAAGATACTCTTAAATATATAGCATTAGCATATGGCATGGAAAAAACCTTTAACTTCAAGAAGCCCCATCACGTACCCCAGGCGCTGTATGACCACAACAAGACATGTATGTGTTTTCAAGCATTTTAGTGTGAACAGTCAAAAACGATATGAAAACGCTAGTGTGGAGGCAAAGCAATCAATGCATTTTTTGGACAAGACAAAAACGGAGCCTTTCAAAAATCCATTAATGTGCACAGGGTCTAAAACTCACCCTCTTGTACGAGAATACAAGTCAAACCACAGGGAATACAGCTTCTTTTTAAAAGAAGGTCGGTCAGCAGGTACCAAGCCCTTGGAAGCAAGGTACTTGTGGGCAATCTGGATTGGACCTGTTTCATAGATTAGATCAATAAAGATACGATTTTCATTGATCTCCTCTTGAGTCACGACTTCCCTCTTGCCAGTGTCTGAGGTGTAGTTATCAAGAAGCTTGACAAATGCTGTTGCAAATGAAAAAAGATAAGAGAGTTAGATACCTTGTAAGAAGTTAAAGGTTCATTCCCCTGCCTGGAGATCAAAAGGCCAAAAATAAAAAAAAACCCAGATTGGGTAGAAATTGGAACTCAGCTCCCTCAGTCCCACAATATTCAACCAATCATGAGACCCCCCTACCCTTCCCCTTTTCAACTTATAAGTGGTAATACCCCTTCTATCCTTCCATTTTTTAAAACATATTTTGGAACTCCTGTATCCTTGTAATAATGGGTGGGATAAACCTTGATAAGTAAGGTCAGGGGCGGATCCAGGGGTGTGTCCCTAGGTGCACTGCACACACCCCAAGCCACCTGTTTTATTTCTGTTTCTCAAATCTTTATCTTTACTCAAGATTAAATTGAATAAGATTCAATCTAAAAATAATTCAGATCATTCGGATGATTGGTGATGTCACTATATCTTCACTATTTTCATTTTGGACACCCCCATTGCAAATTTCGGGATCCATCCCTGAAGATAATGGCAACTTTGGAATTATGATAACAAACCCTAAAGTTATATACAAACTATAATAAAAAAATGAATAAACCTTTATTGAAATCGCTTGGATGACTACAGAACAGTGGTTTGAAGTTGAGTCTAAACTTGATTCTTTTATTTATTATGCCCAACCTCAACTTAAACCATTGATTCGTGATCAGTCAAGCAAATTTGGGAAAGTTCTATTGGTAACACTAAATAACCTGCATAAGTTCCTTTTTTAAGCACATCAGGTTTGAGGTAAGAGAAGAATGGATCAGAGGCACTGTCATTGGTAGTATTATATCTCGTCCTTCCCTGAGGATCTATGCTATAATCTACTTCAGGAGTCAGGCGATTGGTGTCGGCTTTCCACATCTGTTCACATACTGCAGATAATTCTTTATTTGGTTTAAATGAACTAAATAAAAAAAAAGAAAAATGGGTGTAAATAATCCCAAAATAAATTTGCTTGATTTTTGTTTTGCTTTTTTCTATTTTTGTTGTTGTTTTGTTTTTTTGATGGCATTTTAATGTGAGTTTCAGGAAATATCCATACCCCCACCACAGAGGTAATTTGTGAAAAGATCCCCCATCCCCCCTACCCACAGCAACTTCCATTTTATTTCCATACAATCTCTGTAATTTTGTTCTTTCTCTGACCCCCCTCCCCTACAGAATTTCCAATTTCCTCCATGGGTGGGGTATGGATATTTTTTGGAACTACACAATATTTCCAAACTCGCTTGAATGATTACAAAAACAATTCTTGGAACACTATTTGCATAACGGTTGTAATATTACTGTATTTCTTTTGAATATTTGATTGATAAACAATTTTCCATAATGCTTGAATATTAAGATTTAAGCTTGTCACAAAGTTAAAAAAAATAGTTCTTATGGTGCTAAGAATCTTTAAATATCTACTTTTAAAATTTGGTTTGTAGAAAAGAAGGGCTAGTCAACGTGGCAAGTTGAATGGTCATGGAGAATGTTACAAAGCATAGGTCATCGCACTCAAATATTTTTGTAAAAAGCCGAAGGCCCTTTTACTAGGAAAAAATGCAATTTCTGCCAGTGAAATTCAAATTAAAAAATGCTCTAAGTTCTCTTAGAAATATTTTAGTTAAGCCGGGGCAATACAGTTGATAGCTTGGATGCTCACACCATTTAAAAGCTTTATAAACTTGAACGGCTTCAAATAAGTTTAGCTTAACTTGAATTCTGAATCAGTTGTTCCTACGGTCTTTCCGAATCTCTAAATGAAGTTTTACTTACGTCTTGGACATCTTGGGATCTTGTATTGTTAAAACAATCAGTAAAAACTTCTTTTCAATTATGCAAAAGTAAGCGTCTATTTGTGAGTCATGGAAGAAAACCTTGGAACCCTTCCACAGGGAACCCATGCATTCGATTGATCTTACTAGGAGAAAAATTTAAATTTAAAGCTTTTATTGGCTTATTGTCAAATCGTTGATATTTTGGAATTTGTAGAGGCATTATTCTTTAAAAAACAGCAAAATTGCTATTTTTCTGGTAAGCTTAAATGAAAATTCAAAACTCTCTAATTATAGGAGCTTTATTTGATATCGCGGGTTCCCTGTGTTATACGCGTAAGTGGGTTGGTATACAGATAAAGAAATAAAATATGGCGGGAAACATAGAACAGCCGAGGTAAGGATGAAAATATCAAAATATGTCCATTTATTCAGCTTTATTTAATAATTTATTTGTTGTTTCTGAAGATTTATATATTACTCTCTAAATCTGTATTATTTTATTCCCCTATTTTTGTTTTGATTACAAGTTTTTTTGCTATATTTTTGATTGTTTTTCGAGGAGGGGGGAGGGGGTGAATTGTATTTTGAAGAGGGGTAAGTACTTTTTGCAAGCGGTATTAAGGTTGATACCTTCAGTTTTATTTCATTTAGAGAAAGGGAAGAATAGGACAAGGGGGCACTGAAAATCCAAAAATATGTTAGGTGGACAGAGCACTGATCAATTTGTTATTATTATGCAATAGCAAGTATCAAAAAGCAAGTTGGTTCTATCAAACTTTGTGGATTGGGACGAACTGTATATGCAGGGTTTTCATAAAATATTTAAGGTTTAAAATGATAAGAGAAGCACATGAGCTAGCCAGAGTCTCTTAATGAAAACCCTGATATTCTAATCACCTTCCTTTAATGTTTAGAACAATTGAAGATGTACAACTCTCTGCTAATGCTGCCGGTCTTGTCTCTGTGGGCCCTGTGCAGACACTGAAGTTCTCAGAGAACTGCATGTCGAATGAATACAAGTTGATTGAACTGCCGCCAAAATTACTTGAAAAATTACAGCAAGGAGAAAGGTAGCATAGGACACTTGTGTATTGAAGTACATCCAATCTTTTCTACTATTTCCATAAACATGCAAGCAGCTGCTAAAATTTGGTTTATTGTTGCCGTCAATCAAAACTAATCTAACCTTTTACATTTTTGACTGGCGGCAGTGAAAAACCAAATTCCAACTTGCAAATGAGAACTACAGAGTTTGCATTTTTATGAAAATAGCAGTAAATCAGGCTTGATAGAAGTTTGACAACACATAATGATTGCTCATTAATATCGAAATCTTTTTATTCTCGTCAGTTTTGTTATTCGAGGTGAAAATCAAGAAGATGCAATGCTCTGTACGAAAGATTCCACATATGAAATCAAACTAGCTGATACCTCCAATGCCTTGTTATTGACACCAGAATGTCAAACAAACAAGGATCCAGGTAAATGAGGGAAACCACAGGGATCCCAACCCATATGAGATCAAACAATGCCCCTTAACAGTCTACTACTGATCCCAAAATGACGCAGACAAGGCCCTAGGTTAGTGAGGGATGCCACAGGGATCCCAACCCATATGAGGTCAAACAATGCCCCTTAACAGTCT